CTGGCGGTATTAAAGCACTCAAAAAAGTGGATCGGAGCCAGATTCGGGATCGATCTGGAGCCCAAGTTCCCGGGAATGATACGGGCCCTCATGGGAGTGGTCTTCCGCCTGCGGGAGTCGGGGCTGCTGCTGCTGGGGGTGCGGCAGGTGGTGGGATGGCTGATGCTTTGGCGCTAGCGTTGGAAAAGAGGAAGAACAAAGTTAGCAAGAGTGGTAAGTTTCCCTTGATCATGAAATGTTTATGTTTCGGGCGGTTGCTGACCATGTGAGTAGATGATGAGGATGACGGGGATGACTGGGATTAAGTGTGAGGATTTGTGGAAGAAGAGGCTGCGTTGAGAGTTTGGTGAGAAGGGTAGTTTGACATGAAGGGAAAGAGTAGACGGAGAAGTTTGTATGGCTGGTTCAAGCGAGTTTTGTAAGGAGTAGGAGAAAGGGGTCGGGAGTTTGAGAAAGAGAGGGTACTTTGAGATGGCATCACGAGGTCCAAGGATGTTCACAAAAGCGAAGAAAAGGGAAGGGGTATGTAGAGTTAGGGGAAATAGGCAAGATAAGAAAAGAGTCATTCTGAATTCGTAGTTTGAAAAGAGCATTACATGCCACTCTTGCGAGCGCTTCGGGCATGTCTCCTTTGGCCCCCTCCCAAGCGAAATATCACTGGTACATTAAATAAGATGGACCTGAAAACGATGGTATGTTGATTCAGAACTATTTTGCCAGCCCAGGCAGTCTATTTCCCACGCTTTTGACCGATGCAAAAAAAAAAAAAAATCAACACAAAAGTGTAAGCAAAAACAACACAAGGCACAAAAAGGTTTCTTTATCATCAAATCCATTACTCGAGAAGGATCCAGCCCATGACGTCTCTCCCATCACGGAGCCATCTCCCCTCCCACCCCTCTCCTCCGCTATCAACAACTTTTCCACACTTTGCAACAGGACTAACACCAACTGTCGGGGACCTTGGCTTGCGTTACCAACGAACCAAGGTTTGAGAGAGAAGACAGTTTTGTGCTTCCCCGACCCTTTTGAGACCAAAAAGTAGGAAAGGGTGCGCCCCACCGCAGAGTGTGAAATGCTACGTGACGTTTGCGCTGATATCTGGCGAGATTTCTCGGCTGAGGTTTCTCAAATGTCATCAATCTCGATATCCTTGCTGGCGCCCGCAGCGCCGCCCTCGTCGTCGCTGTCACGGTCCTCGTCGAACTCGAAGCCGCAGTCGCCATCCTCGCCGGGGCCGAAGGTGTCGGTCTCGTTGATCTTGGCGGTGTCTGGGAGCTCGCCGTAGGCCTTGCTGGGGGGTTGTTAGTAGGCTGCGGGTGATCGAGAGCGAGCGGACAAGGGGGGAGAAAACGTACAGAGAACGAGCCTCGTCGGCGGAGTACTTGAGGATAACGTCACCCTTCTCATCCTGGTACTCGCGGAGCGAGACGAGGATGATGTCGCCGTTGTTGATCCAGATCTTTTTCCTGAGCTTGCCGCGGATGAGACCGAGACGCTTGACACCGTCGAAGCACTGTCGCAAGAGTCAGTTTTGCTGCTTCTACAACCCGGCCGGTCGAGCGGGCTGGCCGGATTCGGATCCGAGCCAAGGGAGGGATGGGGGGAATGGGAAAGCGAGATGTGTGGGTGAACTGGTGTTTGTAGTTGCTTACCATGGCCTCGAGTCTGCCGTTGCCCAACATCTTCAGGACCTGGGCGTATTCTTGCCCGTCCTCCTTGAATGTGAGTTCGCGCTTCTCATTGCTGCGATGCGATTAAGATGTCAGTGGGCTGCTTGATGGGCGCGCGCAACAGGGAAAAAGATGGAGGGGTAAACACGCACTCGTTCTCGTTCTTTCCTCTACGTCTGTTTTTGCCTCCCTTTCCCTTGTTCTTGGGCATGTTGACTGTTTTAAGCGCTTAGGCTGGACGGCTCGATATGTGATGGGGTCGAGTTCTCGGCGATGCAAGAACTTTTTGGTTGTTTTTTGGGCTGGCAAAATGCTGCAGCGATGACCGATGCTTTTGGGTGTGAAGGGAAGCGCTGGGTAGGAGAGAGGGGCAGTGGCAGGCGGTTTATACCAATAAACCTTGTTTTTCAGTTTGCCGCTGATTGGGTGTGTGCACTGTAATAAGTGGGGGCCAACAGTGGCGCTTGTAGTAAATTGTTGCCATTTGTGGCTCTCATCTCTTCTTTTTTGACCATTTTGAAACACAAGGTGCCTCCCAAACCATCCGCTCCAGACAATACCTACCGACAATGCTTACCGGCACGAGCGCTGTGTAGCTGGGGACAGACACTGAGCCGGAGGTGAATGCCCTTTGTGAGCGGAGCAATATCTGCCCCTCCCAGAGTCTCTTCACTTCCTGTGGGAAACTCAGCCACAGCCACCAGTGACTCGACTCCTCATCCATCGCTCTCTCAGCATGGAGCGGGCAATGTGCCGCGCCGCCTCGACTTACAAGGCTCTCATCCCACCATTGCTGTCTAAAGCTTACAACACACGACCAGCCGCAAAATCATGGAAACCATCAGTCTTCAAGCAGGCAAACCTGCCCATAGCACTCAGCTGGGACCCAAGCCAACCAGTCAAAGATTTCGCCGCGGCACACAAGATCGAATCTAGCGAGGCCGTGAAGACCATCCCTAAGCAAACCAGACTCACCATCCTGCGTGTTCAAGCTTGCCGAAGGCATGCTTTTGACCATCAGCATGAACCATACCTGCAGCCCCAAGAACATCCTCTGACCAAGAAGATCCTCTGGCGCTGTTATGAGTGGAAGCTCAATAGGCCTCTCTGGCTTTATGCAACAGCAACTACTAATGATGGTAGTACTGTGGTGATGCGCCGCCAGGCCGAGTGCAGGACACTGGCCGCCATCAAGGCTGTTATCAAAGCCAATGGCTTTGATTCAGATGGGACAGCGCTGGACGGGAGCGGCAGAGTTCTCTACGGTACCATAAATCTGGTAATATGGTCACCAAAGACACTACTGAACTTCGAATGGAACGACTTGGTCGAGTATCTGGCCGGGTTGGTCAAGACTCAGATTCTGCCAAGCTATGTCAAGATGCCTGGATACACGCCCATGGATTCTCAAAGACCACAGACACAGGTCCCGAAGCCACAAACTCAGAGACCTAATTCTCAAAGGCCTAGGGGTAGAAAGCCAGAAGGATTCACCATCGTGTAGTTTGTGTACAAAAGTGTATTATAGCTGAAAGTCAGAGCTCGGTGGGATCTGTGGGAGTGGCTTCGAGATGCCAAGCCACAAGGTGAGCTTTTGGGGCTTAGCGTCAATATGTACGTCAAAGGTGGAACTCGACGACACTTATGCAAGTCCGCCTGGAGCTTCCAGAGCTTCCCCAAACCTCAATCGCAACATCGTCGTCCGGGGCATCCCAGCATCACAAGCCGTCCGCGATTGGAAGCCGCATAGCTTCAGATACAACACTGCGCCAGTCTATTATCTCCCCGCGTGCAAGTAACTCACAAGCCGCAATCATGCTCGTCTCTCTCACAGTCGGCAAGGTCGACGCCGGCGTCACTGTCCTTCTGACCCCTGACAAGCGACTGGTACTTACAACGCCTTCTACAACCCTCCTACTCCCCAGTTCCCGAGCTGACCCTTACCCCAAGATCGAATTCCCCTCCATTCTTCTTCCTCCCGACATCTCCTCCGGCTCCATAGTCGACATCAACGTTGCGCGCAACAAGGCCTCCGAAGCCCACGCCGAGCGCGCCTTCCGTTCCCTCCAAGACTCGATCCTCTCCTCCTTCGGCGCCGACGCGCCCTCCCCACCCGTCCTCCGCTGCCGCAACGCGACCCAGACCAGTGTTGTTCTAGAATGGGATCCTATCCACCTCGCTACTGCCGATTTAATCTCGCTGGCTCTCTACCGGAACGGCCAGAAAGCCGGCAACATCCCCAAGCCCCTCGAAATGCATTCTACCAAGATCAGCGGCCTGGCGGTCGACACCGAGTACACCTTCCACCTCATCCTTCGCACCACGGCCGGGACGTTTGCCAGTCAGCGCGTGACGGTCCGGACGCATAAGATGACTGATTTGAGCGGTATCACCATCACGTTGGGCATCCTCCCCGCGGTGGTGAAGGAGGGGTTGACGGCGGCGGTGGAAAGGATCGGGGCCAAGATTGTGGATGGGGTTAGGATAGACACCACGCACTTTGTTACCACGGAGGGCAGGGGAATACAGTGGGAGAAGGCCAACGAGATGAATATCCCGGTCGTGAGGCCCGAGTGGGTGGATGCTTGCGAGAGAGGAGGGAGGATTTTGGGGGTGACCAAGTTTTATTTGGATGCCGCGAGGGTTGGGCCGGGGAGTTACGAGACGCCCCTCTCGGCGACGGCGCCGAGCCCGGTGCCGAAGCAGCCTGAGCCACAGCAGCAGAAGGATTTGCCTCCTCAGCCACCGGCTGCTGAACCTGCCGTGGCGACGACCGGTGCGCCCTCTGGAGAGGAGGCGAAGGAACAGGGAGGTGGTGTTGAGTCTGGCTCCAGTGATGGCGAAGAAGACCAGGAGGGGGATGCTGGAAAGGATGAGGAGAACGATGCGGAGCCCGGGTACAAGGCGCTGTCGGGGGAGCAAGATCATAAAGAGCTCCCTTCACACCCCAAGCAACCCACTGTTGAAGAAGGTGACAACGACGACGACGACGATGATGATGATGATGGGAGTAATAAAGGCGAGGACAGAAAAGGCAGCAGTAGCGCCGACGAGAAAGGAGGAGAGAAAGACGCGGGAAAGAAATCCCCAGGTGACGGAGCGTCCTTTCAGGATGTCGCTCTTTAAGTTTCTGTTTGGTGGCATCCAACAACAAACGAGCCGTTTGTCGCTGGTTACTTTTCTCATGTATAGACGTACTGCTTCTAGCTAAGCGTTGCTTGGGGCGTTGTATGGAGGTATTACACAAAAGCACAAGCTCAGGCAGTTTTTGTTTCTATCAAAGCGTATCTTGATTTACTACCACACATCAAGGGGGCACCTCCTCTCCTTTCCAGTCCCAGATTTTGCCTCGCTGTGATGGGTTTAAGGAGGTGATCACGTTCCAGAGCTTTTCGGCTGCGTCGTCTGGGGAGAAGAGGTTTGCTTCAGGGACGCCGGACCAAAATCCGCGGGAGAGGTCGGTCTTGACGGTGCCCGGGTGGTAGCCTACCGCTATGCATTTGGAGGCTGACTTTTGCTGGAGCTCGAGGTCGAGGGTTTTGACGGCCGAGTTGAGGGCTGATTTGGAAAGACGGTAGGAGTACCAGCCTCCGAGGCGGTTGTCGGTCATGCTGCCTACTCGCGCCGAGACAGACAACCTGCCGCGCCTGTTTAAGAAAGAGATTGAGGTTACGGGATAAGGGGGAGGACGAACCAAGTTGCGTGGGGGGGTAGACCTTCTGTGGGCTCGAGAGGGGCGGATCTCTTTGGGAGAAAAGGAACGAAGTGCTTCATTAAGAGGACTGGGCCGAGGGTGTTTACCCTCAGCGTTTCGAGGAGGCTGGGCTCGGTGATTTGGGAGATGGATTTCTCCGGGGGGGTAAGGAGGATGCCGGGGAGGGTGAGGGCCAGGTGGAGGTGGTGGGTTGTGGGCGGGAACAGCTCCCTGGCTTTTTCGGCGGCGGATTGGATGGCTGATTCATCTTTTACGTCTAGGTTTACGACGTGGAGGCGGTCTGACTCGGGATAGGAGGGGGGGAGGCTGGGGGAGCGGGTGGTGGTTAGGATGGGGATTGTGGAGGGGGTGGTGCGGAGGAGGTGGTGGAGGAGGGAGTGGGAGATGCCGCGGGTTGAGGGGGTGAGGAGGATCCAAGGTTTGGACATGGCGACAAGTTTGGTGATACTGATGGGAAGAGTGTTAGGATGGTGATGGTTTGTGAATGGATTCCTGATGGGGTGAGGTTGCCAACAAAGCCATGTGCGTCATTCAATGGGCGGTTTGAAGCCGTTGGATGAGGCGGCTCGATCTGAACCCCTGCCAAGACTTTACCGGATCATGTTGAGGTGAAAGTCGTCAACGCCGACATACTCATCAAGGCAGTGTATCAACTATGGCTCTTTAAATACTGAAGGGGCATTGCAAACAGCCCGGGGTAACTCGAAATATAACCTGTTGATGAGGTTGGCAGATGGGTACAAAATATAAACTGGCAGCACAGAATCGGTACCTATTCTTCTGTGGGCATCTCGCCAAAACTCTCCATCACCAGCTGTGCGTTAATTGCACTGTTATAAGACAACCCACTTGTTATTAGTGTGTATCTCTCTAATGACCAAGTAGCCAGTTACAGTAGTATCAAACAACTTTGACCTGAAATTCTCTGCGATGGCAACAGATCGCAATGGTATCACCTTTCCGAATATGGCCACTCAACAGAAGATGTCCCCTTTCTCGAGCGTGCTTTTTTCGTTCATGAAGCGCCTTGGTCGCCGCGTTTGCATCCGACAGGGCCGACTGGGATTTTGCTCTAATATGATCCATCCATTTCTTCAACTCTGCCCTCTTGGGTGTACCGTCGCTCGGGTAAGACAGGGGAGGAACTTGTGGCAAGTTTGATCTTGCCTCTTCCACTCCCGTTCCCTCCACCGCTTCCATCCCCGTCCCCTTTGCTTCTTCCTCTTGGATAGCTCTCTGCTGTGAACAGCCGGTTTGTCTTGTGATGAGTTGCTCTTCCAGAGCTCCTTCCCCAATAGCCAGCCTGCTCTTTGCGAGCATATTTCACGTTGGAAGACTCGATCGGTTTGAACATTGAAACTGCCTTACCACATCACATGTCGGTAGTTATCTGAGATTCAACGAAGTAGATATCTTTCCACCACCCCTATTCATCGAGCCCATTCTTCAACCCTTCCTATGCCCCATGGCTAGGTACACTGTCCAAGCTCTTCTACCACCTCCTTTACTCTCTCGTTCAGTCGAGAATCCAATGACTGGAGGAAGCCGACCAGCGCCACTAAGGCCCTCTCCATCCACCATATTATCTCGGACCCCCTTTTCATCTGCAAAACCTCAAGCTCTGGCTCAAGAACCTCCTGGACTCGGTCTCGAGTAAGAGTCTGGGCGTAACAGCTTGCCGTTCAAAGTGATCCCTTTTGAAGATGACTAGCTTCTTGGTCGTCACGGTAGTCGTGACCTCTCGCTTGATGACCTCCTGTCGACGCCCTTTGTGTTATTGTAGGTTTGGTGCCGTTGCAAGGGGGCCAGGTGTGAAGGTGGAGATGTGATAGGAGGTGATTATGACAAGGTGATGATTCTGCATCTCGCCCTGCCTGATTGGAAAATAGGGTTTCTGTCGGTATATGTAAAAGTAGCAGGAGCTCTGGGGTTGGGTGCTGTTGGTTGGGTTCTGAAGGCGATGTTTGCCTCGTTTCTCATACAGAGCTCTGTTATCATGTATCTATTTGACCGATGGGCCATCTCACGCCAACCGTCATCTAGCTGCAGCAGCTGTGGTGACTACTCTGCCTATTTTCGCAATCCAATCATCCATACTCGGTCAAGACTGGAGACAACCACCCTCTGAGAATGTGCCATGCAAACACTCCGATTGATTCTAGAATCGTTTACTTCTAAAGCTCATAACTCCATCACATGACACATAAAATATAGACTTTATCCCCTTTCCCCTATCCACCATCACCTGTGCCCCCCAAGAGGATCCTCCACCTCTCTCAACTCCCCCTCCTCCCCAGCTCCAATCTCCTCAACCAACCCCCTCATCACCGGCTCCAGCGTCTCCATCCCACTCAGCTGCGACATCCCCGGCCAAGGCCACTCCCTCTTCCCCAGACCGCTTTCCCCACCCCTCTCTTCCTCTTGTCTCTGTTCAACCTCCCTAACGCGCCTCGTAAACATTGTCCCAAAGTCCCCTCCCAGCAACGACACCCCCGCATGCCGTGACGGCAACCGATCAACCGCCACCTCCTGCCCCCCCTGACTGTACGAATGCAGCAACAGGTCATCATTACTCGGATCCCAATAATGCGAGCTCACATCAGAGGTATTCCTTGTCTGTGGCGGCTCGTAGTACCGGGAATGATAACCCGCCGGGATGGGTGGGTTGGAGTGGGAGAGGTGTCGGTAGTCAAGGGAGTCACTGTCGTTTGTGGAGGCCTCTGAGGAGATACGGTGGCGAGGGTAGGGGTTGTGGTGTTGAGGGCAGGGGTTGCGGTGTTGAGGGCAGGAGTAGTGTTTCCTCCTTGTGGTGGTGGTGGTGGTGACTCTGGGCGTGGCGTCCCCCGAGGCGATGTCGCTTGTGCTTTTGTAGGTGCTCAATGTTGATCTGGAAGAGGGTAATCGGCGGGCCAGGCGCTCGATCAGGGGGATGAGGGTGTTGAGCCAGCGGTTGTTGACCGATTCTAATCTGTCGAGGCGTTGAACCAAAAGTTCAATTTCATGGTTGTGGGTGTAGCGGAGTTCTTCGTACTGACGTAGGAGGTTCTGGTGGGACTCTGACCGGGGGACGGCTGCTGGAGAGGAACGACGGAATGAACAAGCCGTTGGAGGTCGGGTAGAAAGGGTGCTATAGGAGGTGCTTGTTGAAACTGTTGGAACGAATCTCGAGTGTCGCGCGAGAATGAGATGTTCAATAGAGGTCGTGCTTCGCATGTCGGAGAAGCTGGGCATATGGCGGACTTTTCGTCCATGATGTTGAGAGTGGGGGGACGTGTCGGAGCCGGTGATGTGAATCTCAGGGGTGCTGTGGAAAGGGGAAATAGTGCTTTTTTTGCTGACAAGACTGCGCTGCTCCTTCAAACGAGGAGCTGGTGACTGGCGTGCTGAGACTGGCTGCACATCAACAACGGTCATGATGGGTGTGATACGGAAAGTGCAAGAGGGTTTCGGTTTGGGTGATAATGGCGAGAAAGGTTCTAGAGGCGGAAAGATCGAAGCGGCCCTTGATTGGAATGACAGAAGGTGAGGGCTCATAGGTGTGCAGTGTCTCGTCGACGGAATGTCCTCTCTGTCGCTTTGTTCCGCATCCAGAGGGTCATGGATAGCAGCCAGCGTGTGTTGTCGAAGGAACATATTGGAGGTATGAGCGGTGGCGGTGTTATCACGTTTGATGCCCATGGCAGGGTGCTCATCTGCGGGACTTCGAGGATTGCTCATGACGGTATGAGGTCGAGTGTCGACAGTGACGACATCTACTGGAACGAAATCTGATATCGAGCCTTTTGGGAGCGGTGTCAGCTCATGGGGGGAAGGGATAGTAATCATGCTGTGGGCACCGACCGAAGAGTTCGCCATCCGCGAGGGTGGCCGAGATTGCGTCCGGCTCCCAGTCCCCCCCTGTGCTATGGGTTCTGCGGCCGAGAGCACGCGGTCAGTAGAGAGCCTTTCCATTGGCGACTCTGGCGACGGGAGCATCGGGAACAACTCCTCACTGTTGGCACTTGTACTGTCGTTGGTGGTGCCTGAAGCAACCGATTCGCTAGACTCACGCTTCTCTTCTTCTACTGGCGGCAGAATCGTGACAGTGCCAGCCCGTTCGTCATCTGAAGGCGGCGGGGTGGGCTCTTGGGTAGGCTCATCAAGATGGTCGTACTCAACAGGTATCGATATGGCGATGTGGCGATAACCACCAGTAGTTGTTCCAGCAACAGCTGTATCTGGCAGCCGAATTACGCCACCAGATGCGGGCCTCCCGTCCTTCTTCTTTCCTCTCTTGACCCTCTTCTTCCAAAATGACCAAAATGGGCGTCTCTTCTTCGTGGTGACAGGTGGAGACTCAAACGTGTCAGGAATGGACATGTAATTCTGGGGTGGTGGCGAGGTGTTGCGGAGAAACTCAATCAGGGCCCTCGAGCTATCCCTGTCGTTCGCCCTTTTGATCTTGCGCCGAATGACGTCCTCGTCGGTGTCTGGGCGGAAAATGTCGGTGAGAATGCTCGAAGCATTCGAAAGCTTGCGGAAGGTCTTGGGCCGGCTGTACTGGGATATTTGGCTGTCCATTTCTTCCAGCTCGTTTGAATGGATGGTGGTCTCCAGAGAACCGCCTCGCCTGTTGCGCAGATGGGAACTGTCTTCCACCACAATGACAGTCTCCCTCTGCACTCGTATCCCGCCAATGTTGTCCGAAGACATGATGACGAACGTGCTTGATAATTATTGACTGCGATCCATGTTAGTCATCTACGGAAGGTGTCTCCGGGGTCACTCATTGGGTAGGTAGGTAGACCTCTCCAAAACCCAGCTCTCGGTCCCTCAAATATCGGATAAGGGGTACGATATTAACCAGGGCAATGACCCCTTTCTCGTCAAAAAGGAAACCAAAAATGAAAATAATGTCTCAAAAAATAACTTTTGTCATCAAATCATCAAAACTGCTAGAGACTCTGCACCATGTTTGCCGCAAGGGAAGACGAACGAATGCGAACAAGTCCCGTCTGGGCATGAAGACGTATAGAAACAAAAGAGGGAATCAACTCACCCTTCCCAAAATGCGAGATGAGTCGACTCTTAACCAAGTAATCGCCCACTCCCCCTCCACGATCTCAAACTCCAAACAAACATTTCCTTCTACTAAGCTCCCCTAGTCCCAAGCAACGCGCATGAGGAAAGCGTCATCTGAGCGTGGCAAGCTTCCCAGCAGTTATCACCGTCTGAGCACTCGCGAATAAACCCGAGCTAGCTGATAACCAGCGTCTCTTAGGTAATATCCCATCTCTCATCCTAGGAATAATCGCAGCCCGTCCCGACAAACCCGGCAGATTCTGCACGCCTGCTTCCATTGTGTCTTCACCTCAGCCGAACCTCAAACATACGCTCCCAGAATGACGAGCATGGCAAAGCAACAACAAACAACATCCCCAACCTGCCG